ATATTGTCCTCAGAGAAATGCAAAGTCTCATCAGATAAATTATCAGAATTGGTAAGTTATTTTAGTAAGATTGATAGATACAAAAACAGCATTAAAAATTAATGCATTTCTTTGCATAAGCCACAGTCAGAATCTAATACTAATTTTTAAAAGATGGCCATTTGCTGTAGCATTTAAAATATAAAGTACCTAAGAATAAATTTAACAAAATATTTACAAAATCTTTAGAGAAAATATTTAAATGTTTGAAGACATTAAAGAAAAAGCCTAAATTAAAGGCTCAATATTGTAAAAATGTCAATCCTCCCCAAACTGATATGTAGATTCAATGCAATTCCAATAAAAATCCCAACAGGTTTTTTGTGGAACTTGACAAGCTGATTCTAAAATTTATATGGAGGAGAAAAGATTCAAGAATAGCCAAGACATTCCTGAAGAAGAAGAACAAGGTGAGGAGATCTGCCTTACCAGATTTAAAGAGTATTATAAAATCTAGTAAGACAGTAACGTATTGGTACTGGGATAGACGGATTGATCAGTGGAATAAAATAGAGAACTCCAAAGCAGATTTGTGTGTAAGTGGAAGCCTACTCATGACTGAAATGCTGTTGTAGTTTTGTTAGATGAAAAGATGGTCTTTACAATAAATAATGCTGGAACAATTGGGTAATAAATGAAAATTAATTCTTGTCTCATACCAGAAACAAAAATCAGTCCCAGTTAGTGTGCACACTGAAATCTAACAGACAGAATGATGAAACATGAATGAATGTAGGAAAATAAAATCTCACAGTAGGAAAGGATTCTTAAGACTTAAAATGTTGATAAAGGGAAAGATTAACCAACTTGACTACATTATGATGTAAAACTTCTGTTTATAAATAGATACCATAAAAAATGAAAGGGCAGGCCACAAACTTGGCAAAAAATATCTGTAACACTTATAACTGATGAAGAATGAGTAGAATATATAAACAACTCGTACAAATTAAGAAAACAAACAAGCAATCCAGGAGAAAAGGGGGAAATACTTGCTAGGTAGTTCACAGAAGAAGAAACCCTGTTGACCAGTCATCTGTGGAAAGATGGTCAACTTCATTAATAAATCAGGAGAAGTATAAATTAAACCGACATTTGATACATTTAAAGTCTGACCATAGCAAATGTTGATGAGTATACAAAACTACTGAGAACACTACATTGCTGATGGGAGTGTAAATTGTTACAACTACTTTGAAAAACAATTTGGCCTTATCTGGTAAAGTTGTATTCATACCTAAAACTCTTGCACATGTGCATGAGGAAACACATACCAATTTGTGTTTGAAGTAGGATTGTTCACTGTAAGCAACCCCAGTATTCGTCAGTAATAGAGTGGGTAAATAAATGTTGGTATGGACTCAAAATGGAACACTACAAAGTAAAGTGAATGAACTTTGGCTACATGGAACAACCTAGATGAGTCTTCAGAACATAACATGGGACAAAATAAAAACAAGTTACCACTTGATTATGATTCAATTGTTATCAAAAAGTAGACTGAATAATAAAAAATATTATTTAAGGATACAAGATATATGGGGTACAAATAAATTAAAGCAAGATAATGATAAACACAATATTTTTAAGTTTATTTGTGAGGAGGAGTATATGATGAGGGAAAAGACCAAAGAGAACTTGTAAGTTACATTATGTGATGGATATATTTGTATTTTTAGAAATATAAAAACTGAAAAACAATGTTTTAAAAAACAACATGTTTTTTAAAATGGCTTAATCTTGCTTCCAATGAAGGCTTAAGCAGGGATGAAATGGTCTTTGATGCCACCTAGTGTTTCAAGAGATTTTATATCTAAATCCTTCTGGTTATCTGCTGCTTCCTAGCTCTGGGCTAGGTTTTTCAGGTTAGAAAGGAAAAGGAGTAGGATTCTCCTTGTTTTCATCCCTGACATAGGCTCTTCAGCCTGATCCTTTGCATCTAGCACCATGTTCTCTAGAGCAGGCCCTTTTCTCTTGTCAAACAGTAGCTCCTGTTTCTTCCTCACTTTGCTTTTAGGAACCTTACTTAGCATGGCTGGAGAACTAGTTTTTCTTCATCATGACCTGAGGAGCTAGGGATGCTGATAGGACTGTGGTCATGGTTATTAGCTGATAGGACTATGGTCATGTATTACTGACCCTGGGGACTATTTTCAAGCCTTGCTGTCTACCTTTGTTCTACATCATTTTAGACAAGGCCTGTACTGGGAAAGTAATGCCTCTGAATTACTTGTGGGGGCTTTAAAATCTTGTATCTTATCTTGCTCTGACCAGGGTGGAAACATGGAAATCTAGCCTATCTGGGTGAATTGGGAAATTCCAGTCTTAAGCAGGGTCTCTGTTCATGTGTAAGAGTCCTGCTCAGGATACTCTCCCTCCCTCCCGCCTCCCCCCACTTAAGTATTGGCAGCATCAGGTCTAAAGAAATTGCTTCTCAATAAAATAACATGTAGCCCTAACTGGTTTGGCTCAGTGGATAGAACTTTGGCCTGCGGACTGAAGGGTCCTGGGTTTAATGCCAGTCAAGGGCATGTACCTTGGTTGCGGGCACATCCCCAGCAGGGGGTGTGCAGGGGGCGGCTGATTGATGTTTCTCTCTCATCAGTGTTTCTAACTCTCTATCCCTCTCCCTTTCTGTAAAAAATCAATAAAATATATATTTTTTAAAATAAAAATAACATGTAAAATCTCCAGGGTTTTAACTCTGAACAGAAAATCGTAAGTGAAGGCAGATGGATTATGAGATTCTGACTCCCTTTATCTTAGGATCTTTTAATTTCTCTTTATCACTGTCTTGATGGTTCCCAGGAAACATGTTTGCTCCCTTCTTAGAGATCTTGCTTTCATCTGGTAAAATTAGTTCCTTTTAGGCTGGCATTTCCTTTATTTAATCATATTTTTTATTATCAAAATTAGAAACCAAAGAGTCACCCTTTATTCCTGTCTCTTTCTCTCCCCAATCTACATTCCTTTCAGTCCATCTCTCAATCTAGTAACTCTTCTCCAGAATATATCTCAAATGCATCTATTTCCTTTTACCTTCATCTTTCCATGTTTCTATTCTTGTTTGCCAGTCCATTTTCCATGTATCAGCTAGAGTGATTCTTTAACATGTATATTGGATTGCAGCTTTTTTTTAAAATATATTTTTATTGATTTTTTACAAAGAGGAAGGGAGAGGTATAGAGAGTTAGAAACATCAATGAGAGAGAAACATCGATCAGCTGCCTCCTGCACACCCCCTAGTGGGGATGTACCCGCAACCAAGGTACATGCCCTTGACCGGAATTGAACCCGGGACCCTTCAGTCCACAGGCCAACGCTCTATCCACTGAGCCAAACCAGTCAGGGCATGGATTGCAGCTTTAAAACCTTGAATGGTTTCCTCCTGCACTTAAAATTCAAGCTCTCGATTGAAGGACCTATGTGGAAAAATGTGAATTAACCTTACCAAGCTCATCTCCTCCCACTTCTTGCCATCCCCACCAATCACACTTTCTGTATAATATGCTCACTGACCTTTTAGTTCTTCCCACAAACCAAGCCTTCTCCTCTCTCTCTGAGTCACCACAGATGCTGACCACTGTGCCTAGAATACTGTTTTCCACACTCATCCTTCCTCTGATTTTGGGTATACTTTCTCTAATAGCATTTTGTTCTTTCATTACATTTATTGTGGTGTATAATTTTATATTTATTTGTTTAATGTCCGTCTTTCACACACAAGTTTGTATTGTCTATGAAAGCAAGAACTGTGTATATGATTGATTCACCACTGTTTGCTCTGTATCTAACCCGGTATCTGAGAGGTATACAATATATAATTTGTTAAAGGAGTAAGTGAAAAATAATACATGAATCATAATTTACTTAACTCTTTTACTACTGCTGAATATTAAAGCTGTTTTCAGTTTTGGGTCATTTAATGAAGTAAATAACTTGAACATAGAGATTTTTATTTCTTTAGGCTAGATTCTCAGAAGTGGAGTTGCTAGATCAAAGAGTATGAATATTTTTAATTTTATTTTTAAGGCTTATAAAACGTATTTCCAAATCACTTATAGAAAGGTTTCTAGGTTGGAATTTTTTAACTGTTTCCCTTTTTGCTTTCTTAGTTTTGAATATATGGAACATATCAAAAGAAAACAGTTCAAATAATAAGGCTTAGCTTCCCGCTCCTTTTTAAAATTAATTTATTAAATGCCTATTCTATGCCAGACAGATTATTTTATTTATTTCTTATGTGGCAGATATTAGCATCCCAATTTTACAGATGAGGGCATTTGGGCCTAGAAAGTTTAACTGTTTTGCTCAAGTTCAGACAATCCAGACTGTCTCGTGTGAAACCATTTGTACTTATCCATATACCTACCAATACACATGTCCTTCAGAATTGCTGCATAGTCACTGCCACCTCACCAGGTCCTCTGCTTCCTAACTGCTGAATCCCTGTGAATGCCTGTCCTTGTTTCCTTGCTACATGATGCTAGAGGCTGGGTTGCCATGCTCCTTTGTCAGGGCCCTAGAGAGGACCTAACTCAGCTAACCGTCCAGAGCACTCCTGTGTGGTTCATTCTGAGATGCATCTTATCTTTGCATTGTGGTTAGCATGAGGAGAAGTGGCTCATCCCTTTATGTCTCCACTCCAATTAACAGGGTGGTCCATTTTGGCCCAGCACTGTAACAGGCCCCTAACCATGTAGTAACCATATAAAGAGCATGCTGCATAATAACAGAAGGCATTCGGCTCCTGGGGATTCTTGGTGGTAAACTCTAAGAAGTTTGTAGGCACTTTAGAAAAAGGAGCACGCTCTGTGTTAGGCTGCAAGTGTTCCCTTGGACCCATCTTTTTCCCCCAAGGAAAGGCAGAACTTGCTGCCAGGTCTGGAGTTGGTGTAGCAGTCTGCATGTTTGGTGTTTATCCCTGTAAGTAACTCCTCTAATTTCTCTTAACCTTTCAGGCTCTCCCTGCTTGTCCTATCCAGGCCACCTGTGAAGCTGCCTCCAAGGAGGAAAATAAGGAAAAAAATCGATATGTAAACATCTTGCCTTGTGAGTGTTTGTAGGGTTTCTAGGGATGTAACCTGAAACTGCATCTCTAGCCAGTTTTTCTGAGGCTGGAAAGAATGTTGTGTTTAATAATAGGCGGGTTGGTAAAGAGAGTAAGGTCAGGCCTTCTCTCAATCTGAAATTGCCTTTATGGTTCCCAAGGCGACTCCAGGTGCTTACAAAGTCAGTAGGGGTGCTTAACTAGTTTTTTGTGGCAGGCCTAAAGTTTCTAGGAGGTTAGGGAGAGCAGTTTCACTAGGACCAGATAAGAAGTGGGTTGTTCATGGAGGTTTTTTTTGTAGTGCTCATTGCAAAGAAATTATGATACAGAGTTCTCTTCATAAACCTTCCCAGAGTTAGTCATTACTCATTAGTTGATCTATATAGCCTAACAGACATTTTTCTAGACCAGGGGTTTCCAGAATGTGGGATATACATAATCCAGTGGGATAAGAGAGCAAAATATTTGAACTTTGTCTTGTTTTTATAATGACTTTTTTTGTGTGTACAAATTATATAATTTATTATTTAAAGACCTGGTATATTTTTGAGTGCTAAACATATTAGAGATCACTATATATTTATATATACATACTGTAATTATGTCTTCCTATTTGTGTATGAATATATGTATGTGTATTATATATATATATGTATGTATTTAATGTAATTGGTATATTGTATACATTGTTCAGACCCCCTTTTTTTTTTTAAATCCTCACCCAAGGATATATTTTCTGTTGATTTCTAGAGAAAGTGGAAGAAGCATCGACATGAGAGAGACACATCAATTGGTTGCCCCCTCTCCCCCACCCGACCCTTACCAGGGCTGGGGAACCTGCAACTGAGGTACTTGCCCTTGACTAGGAATCAAACCTGAGACCCTTTGGTCCTTGGGTCGATGCTGACCACTGAGCCAAGTCAGCCAGGGCAGACCTTTTTCTTTTAACAATATATATACACTGAGTGGCCAGATTATTATGACCACCTGACGTTTGTAGGCAAATTAGCTATAATTTCACGCTGAAGTTGCTAGAGCGCCAGATCTTATAAACGTCTGAATAGCACAACATACCTAAGTATCGTTGCTGATCAAGTTCATCCTATCATGTTGATGGCGTATCCCAATGGAGATGGCTTCTTCCAACAAGACAATGCGCCATGCCACGGTGCTCGTATTGTGCAGGAGTGGTTTCAAGAATATGAGGGAGACTTTACCTTGCTTAGGTGGCCCCCACAATCACCAGATCTCAATCCAATTGAGCATTTGTGGGATGAAGTTAAGTTAAAAGAGCCATCAGGCAACTGGTTCCACAATCATCAAATCTCACAGAACTGGACAGTGCTATCCATCAGGTATGGTGTCAGATTCCTTGCATCACTTTTCTACATCTTGTGGAGTCAATGCCAAGAAGAATCGCCGCAGTATTGAAGGCAAAAGGTGGCCCAACGAAGTACTGATGGAGTGGTCATAATAATCTGGCCACTCATAATAATCTGGCCACTCAGTGTATATTGTCAATTCATCTGTTGAGAAACAAAAGTACTCACTTTCCTCTTTATCAACTGCTTACTATTCCATATCTTTTTTTTCTTTAACAATAGTTTATTGATTTTTAGAGAAAAGGGGAAAGAAACATCAATGTGAGAGCAAAACATTGATCAGCTGTCTCTTGCATGCCCCCTACCAGGGATCAAGTCTGAAACCCAGGCATGTGCCCTGACCAGAATCGAACTGGCAACCTTTCAGTGCACAACCAACTGAGCCATCCCGGCCAGAGCTGTGAACATATCTTAATTTATTTAACTAATCCCCTAATGATGATTGAGATATGTCCAAATTTTTGCTGTTATAAATAGTTGCTGCAGTGACATCTTTATACATCTGTGTCTCTATACACATAGGCACAAATGTCTTATCTGGCCTGATTGTGTCAGGACCAGTGAGAAATAAAATTGGATTTAACTATTTTAATATTAACAATATTTAAAGATTAATTTTTTTTCCTAGATGATCACTCTAGAGTCCATCTGACACCAGTTGAAGGAGTTCCAGATTCTGATTACATCAATGCTTCATTCATCAATGTAAGGAACTCAAGCTTTCTCATTCATTATCTTGAACTGTGTCCTTCCCAGCTTCATGTTAAGAGGAGTATTTGTCATTTCAAGTTTTCCCTGAGGAGTCAATTTTTTAAGTGACTGAAAACAATTTTTTTTTAATTTTCATGTATTTTTATTGATTTTAGCGGGGAAGGGAGAGGGAGAGAGAGATAGGAAACATCAATGACGAGAGAGAATTATTGATCAGCTGCCTCCTGCACCACCCCCACTGGGGATCGAGCCCGTAACCTGGGCATGTGCCCTGACCGGGAATTGAACCGTGACCTCCGGGTTCATAGGTCGATGCTCAACCACTGAGCCATGTTGGCCAGGTAAAAGGGGTTTATTATAAGATACTGGATAGCTTACAAAATCTGTGGGAGAGCCAATGAACCAAGCTAAGGTGCTGCTCAGTGAGGAATAGAGCAGTCACAGTGGTACCCAACTACCCTGTAACTCTCATAGTGAAAGCTCTGCAGAAGACCTGGATGCTTCTGCCATGCTTGCCCAAAGACCAAATCTTGCTAGCACAATCACTATCTCACATCGCTCACTTCTACCCCTGGTCTTATGTGGGAGCATCTGCTAGGTCTGTGCAGAACTAAACTGCAAGGGATGAATCTAGGGAATTTAGCTTTTAGTGTCTTGGCCCCTGTAGTAAGAAAGTCAGGATAGCAGTGGGTGAGACTGGGTGTTGAATAAGCCACCTTATAGTAGCTGCAATTTTTCAGTACAGCTAAGGGTTTTAATTCTCTGGGCAATGGGGTAGTATCGAAGGTATTAAAGACAAGAAGTGACATGGCCACATTTGTATATTGGTCACTCAGGTTACTATGTGCAACATGGATTTAAGAGGACCAACTAGGGGCTGTTACAGTAGTAGGTTATAGATGATGAGGGCCTGTAGAAAGGTTGAAGAGGAAGCAACAAAATAAAAGCTACTTTGGAGGTAGACTTAACAGGACTTGGTGATTGATTGTATATTTTCGAGAGTAGAGCTTATAGAAAATACAGTGATCCATGTGGATGTCCAGCACACAGTTGGTCATATTCATCTGGAGCTCAGAGGAGATATTCCAAAGCCATGGTCTTGGAAGTTATTCAGAGAGAGAATATTGGGCCCTGGGGCCCACCAGCCTCTGCCACACACACATTGAGCAAGAGACACTCATGAATAAGATAAAAGGAGACTTGGGAGAGAAGAGCACCTCAGAGGGCAAAAAGTAAAGCATGGAGGAAATGTCAGATGGTCAGCAGGGTTAAGTGCAGATGAGAGATAAGTGAGAAAGAGGGAGCAAATGTGCCTTGGATTTGGAGTATAGGGGTAGACAGTGTCCTTTGAAGCAAATCAAGGCCATTTGTTATAGGCTGCCAGTTATACTTACCAAACCCTTTTTCTCTCCAACTTAATTGAGGTATAGTTTATATAACAAAAATTTGGTCTATTTAAAGTGTAGAAGTCAGTAAATTTTATAAAATTTACCAAGTCATCCTGCCATCACCCTAATTGTTTAAGAATAGTTTTAACTTTAGTATATGTAATTCATATACCATAATTTTACCCATTTAAAGTGTACAATTCGGTGGTTTTTAGTATATTCACGGATATATGCAGCCATCACCAGTCGATTTTACAACCTTTTCATCACCTCCAAAAAGGAACCCTATACCCTTTAGTTATTGCCTCTTAGTTTTAGAACATTTGATTACTTCAATAAAAACTTCTTGTCCAGATACAGTTAAACCCCATTCCTATCCCTGGCAACCATTACCAAGCCCTTTTTGCAGAGAGCTAAGATCACAGATGGATCTTGAAGGGAAGTGGTGGCAACTGCCAGTGGAGACTAGGACCTGTGGTGTGGGGAACACAAAAGTGTGAAAGCAAACCTGACATTGGTCACAAGGGGAGGCAAAAGAGGCAGTGGTATAGTTGGCAAGTGGGTTCCAGCCTGGAGTCTTAGAAGGAACCAATCTCCTCACTCACCTTTAGATGTCTAAGAGTGTATAGGTCTTTAGCAGTTACTGCCAGTTGTTAGTTTCTCAGAGGCTCCTTAGCTATATCCCAGTGCTCCTTTGCTTCTTCTCTCACTGCCTGTAGTGGAGAACCCAGAACACTGGGAGCTGACCTGCCATACCCACAGGTTATTCCCCGAAAGTCTTTGCACCAGGGTAAAGCATCATCAAGAAAATAACCATTTTTTTTCCAAGTGTGAGCCCAGCTTCATCCCTGGAACCACCACATTTGCTTCTGCCTTAGAGGGTTCCTATCCATTAATACTAAGACCCAGATTGTAAGGCTCTGAGACACGTCAGAAATAGGGTCTAGCCTGGGATTTGGGATTTGGATATTCTTCATTAATAATTTACTTGGAGAAGACTACCTAGATCATGTAATCTTTTATTCCTGCTATCTAAAGCTAATCCCTTGGAAATTTCTAGAATGGAAACTCTTGTTAATTGCCTGGACCTTTTTGTAGGGAGGCCTTGTTAACTGGTTGGGAGTCTGGAGAATATTATTTCCAACCCATTTTTGGTTTTCACTTTCTTTTTCTTTCCCACTCTCCTCTCCCCTCAGGGCTACCAAGAAAAGAACAAATTCATTGCTGCTCAAGGTAAAGTAATGATTTTTGAAACAGTATTTTTTTATTGATTTCAGGGAGGAAAGGAGAGAGAGAGAGAGAGGGAGAGAGAGAGAGAGAGAGAGAGAGAGAGAGAGAGAGAGAGAGAGAGAGAGAGAAATATCAGTGATGAGAGAGAATCATTGATCAGCTGCCTCCTGACTCTGCCCTACTGGGGATTGAACCTGCAACCTGGGCATGTGCACTGACCAGGAATCGAGCTGTGACCTCCTGGTTTATAGGTCAATGCTCAACCATAGAGCCACTCTGGCTCAGCAAGTAATTAATGATAATTTTTTACTCACGCTTTTCCATGAGCTCATAGTGGGTTTGGGTTATTTCTTCCAAATGCTAAATAGATTAATCTGAATGCAGTAGCCTTTCTATAAAGATTACTATCTGAAAAAAAATGTAATCCACCTTGTAATTTTATAACTAAAGGCCTTGAACTTGATGACTTAGTATCCAGGGGTCATTTAAAAGAAGTCCTTTTGTAAGTGTGCATAAAAAGACTGGAGAAGGCTATACACACATGGTGTGACCCTTTGGGAACATGAGGTTCTAGGTAGGCTGCTCAGAATTTGAATTTGTAATCAATCTCCAGAAAGGATTGGCCACCTCCCAGGGTCCAGGCTGGCTCATTTCCTCCCTGCCACTCGTGGGCCTGAGCTCCACTATTATTAATAGACTAGAGGCTGGATGCACGAAATTCAAGCAAGGGGCTCAGCCCTCGAAGCCACTGCAGCTTTGTCCAGAAGGACGTCTGGTCTATCTGGTCTAATTAGCATATTACCCTTTTATTAGTATAGATAAGTGGTCTAGGAAACTCAGAGCAGGGACCCAGTACCATGGACCCTTTAGTTAGTGGAGGACAATGTACAGGGAAACAAGCATAAATTTTGGTAAGTGGCTATGCTTTTAATACAGTAGCCAATAGCCACATGTGGCTATTTAAAAGTAAAAATTTAATTAATTAAAATTTTAAATTCAGTTCTTCAATTATAGTAGTCACATTTTAAGGCTCGCTAGCTACATGTATAAAAAGACTGGAGAAGGCTATACACACATGGTGTGACATAGTAGTGCAGATAGAAAACATTTTCACCATTACAGAAAGTTCTGTTAGACATAAAATAGAGATTGCGGTAAAGTAAGTTAGGAAAAGCCTCAGATCCTCCTTACCCTCACAGTCTCCCACTGGGGTCAGGCTTTTACGTAACCAGGCCCTGCTTTCTCTTCCTCTGTAGCCATCTGTCAATTCAGATCTGTCTTCTAAGGCCCAATTGTGCTAACACCTACTCAGTGGTGATTTTGGCACCAACAACCATGTGCAGTCTTTTCCTCTCATTATTTGCCATAGGACTTTGTTGACACTAAAATATTTGTGAATTAAGGTCTCCTGTGACTTCCTGGTTGACTTTTTTTCAAAGTCCCGTCCTCTTAAGCCTTTCCACAGTACTTCACACTCCTTGAAACTCCTCCGTTATTTCCTGATGTTCAGTTACCTTGATTTTTCTCACTTTTCTAAATATTCTTTCCCTGGCTCTTATTCTTCATTCTGCCCCTTAAATGTAGCTTCTTCCCAAATGTGTGGGTGACTGCTTCCTTGAAACTCCATCTCTGTCTTTCATGGCACCATTTTCTCTCAGTTCTCTTGCCTCTCCATCTGCTCCTCCTTATCTCCTTGCCAGGGTTTTTATTCTATCTGAACTGAATGATGCTGAGAGTCCTCAGCATTCTCTGTCTGCCCCTTCTGTTTTCTGTGTTCTCTTTGAGACAGCTCATCTAATACTCACCTCTGGCTGCTGCCTCTCTTGACCTCTCCTAAGCCACATTTTCAAACTAGTTTTGTACTCTTCCACCTGGATACCCCTACATACTCTTTAGATTTAACATCAGAAACTAAAACATGACTCTTCCTTAGACCCCAGACTGCTTTCCTCCTGTATTCTTTGGCCATCACCATGACTGGAATGTAATCTACCCAATTAACCAAGCCAGTTTAGGATAATCCAGATCTTCTACCTGTCCCTTAGTCTAATGCAGGGGTGGGCAAACTTTTTGACTCGAGGGCCACAATGGGTTCTTAAACTGGACCGGAGGGCCGGAACAAAAGCATGGATGGAGTGTTTGTGTGAACTAATATAAATTCAAAGTAAACATCATTACATAAAAGGGTACGGTTTGTTTGTTTTTTTAGTTTTATTCATTTCAAACGGGCCGTATCCGGCCCGCGGGCCGTAGTTTGCCCACGGCTGGTCTAATGACTAGTCCTCTTATTTCCATCTTCAAAATCTCTCTTCTCTTACACATTGCCTTACTCCCATCTTTCCTTCCAGCTCTGTTACAGTAGCCTACTGACTGATTCCTCTACCCCTCACCCTTGCTCCTTGCATTCTTTCCACCAGAATGTTCTTTTTCGAGGAAAACTTATGTCATGATCCTCATGATTTTCCATTATCTATCTTTCAAATTGTAATTTAACTCTATTGGGGAGTTAAGGTACAAGGGCAGGCCTTGTACCTTACCTATCTTTCCAGCTCCGTCTTCCACCACTCCATGCACTCTACAGAGTTACCTCACTGAATTCATTACATCGCTGGGTATCTCATGCTCTCTTTCTTGTTGCCAGCCGCCTGTACCTCTGCCTGGAGTGCCTATTCTCCCTGCTTCCTCTCTAAGCTCCCATCCACTGATCTACCCTAACATATAACTCAGATGTCACCTACTCTGGTAGATTTGTCCTGACCTTGCCAGGCAATGAAACAATTACTCTTCTGTATATCTTTCTGGCATATGTTCACTTCTATCATTGTTTTTCTTTGTAATTTTTTTTTTCATTTTTACCAAGGGGAATATAAATTTTAAGGAAGTCAAAGTTATTACAAGGGTTATAAAAATAATGTTCTTCCCCCTTCCTCCCTTACTCTTTTAATCTAATGCAACCATTTTTATCTGTTGATTCCTTATGGGTAGATGATATACTTTATTTAATTCTCTTACAAACAACCTCACACTCAATCAGACAGACATGCATATACATGTCTCTTTTCCCCACTCTTTTTTTTTAACTTAATTCTTTATTTAAAGTATTACATAGTTCTCCTTTTTCCCCCATTGCCCACTCTTCCCAATAGAGTTAAATTACAATTTAAGGTTAAGATGACATTTGTTGTTTACATTATTACTATACCAATATTATTTACCACTGAAGCACATAATGTATAATTTTTTTTGGTACAGTTTTTGGTTTTCTCTTTTCTGAGAGTTAATGATTAGCCTTTTTTCCTATTCACTTACTTTTTTATATAGCTAACATTGATTCTCCCTCCACTCCCCCCCGCAAAAAAAATTCTTCTCTAGAAATATATTCTCTCAAGAATTCAGATACATGGAGTTTATTTTTTTATCTTGGGATCCTTCAAGAACCTTCTTTCTTTTGCCATTCTGGATAGCTTTAGTCTCCCTTATGTGTTAGATTCCATCTCTTTCTCTTTCTTTGTTGGCTCCCTCATTTTTGTTTGGAAATCTTCTAGTGGCTTTCTGGGAAGGACTGTGTGGGAAGTAAATTTTAAATTCCAGTCTGAGCAAGTCACCTAACCCCTCTGTGGTTGATGACACCTACCTCAGAGCATGGTGGAAAGAAGTAAATGAGATATAAAACACTTAGCTCACTATCTGGCCCATAATGTGATATTGAATGAATAGTCATGCTTTCTAATCTCAACAATATATCTTTGGGAGACATTGTTCATGTTCTCTTTATATTTTGACAGCCTCCCACTCCCACTTCACTTTTTAGTGAAGTGCCTGGTGGATACATGGGGAATGTTCAGTTAGCAGGTGGGTGGGTGGATCAATGTATTAGATATTCAGCTGGAGATATGTGGGCACAGGCTTCCAAAGTCAAGAATGAATGTTTCAAATTTCCCAGCATCTTTCTTCCCCTTGCCATGGGTTCTCATTTTTGCTATTGGCTGCTTTAGGACCAAAAGAAGAAACGGTAAATGATTTTTGGAGGATGATCTGGGAACAAAACACAGCCACCATTGTCATGGTGACCAACCTGAAGGAGAGAAAAGAGGTAAGTGGAAAATTTGTTAGGAGGGCCTCTGATACAGGCATGACCAGCAGAGGGTCTTTGCTGGAGCTGTGTTTGTGTCTGGACTGTCCACCCTTTGTGGCTCCTTGCCAGTCATTCTTGCAGACAGAGCCCAGGTTAATATGCCTACCAGACTTTCCTATGTCCCAAAGGCCTCCGATGATCCCAAGGGTTGCCTAGGGCAGTGGTCGGCAAACCACGGCTCGAGAGCCACATGCGGCTCTTTGGCCCCTTGAGTGTGGCTCTTCCACAAAATACCACGTGCGGGCGCGCACGTACAGTGCGATTGAAACTTCGTGGCCCATGCGCAGAAGTCGATTTTCAGCCTTGGCGAGTCTATTTTGAAGAAGTGGTGTTAGAAGAAGTGGGGGGTGTCGGTCGGTCAGGCGACAGGAGACATGGCACAGGCGGGCCCACGGGATATGCAGTGCGGGGGAGGCGTGTACGATTCATGCACGAGTTGAGTGAGCCAGTCAGTCAGCAGTCTCATTGTGCAGTGGTTAGTGCTAGTCGCGTCCGCAAATTGCATGTGGGTGACAAAAGTACCTACTCAAAGCATAAAGTTACCTGTATTTTTCCAACCAGCTGCAAATCCTAAAGGTATTTTTGTCATCAATTTAAGAATTGTAATTATTTTGTGTTGGTGGCTTTATTATTATAAAATGAAACATTTTTTTAGGTGCCCTGTTTGACATGGCTACAAAGAAGAAGCAAACTACCTATATAGTTTAAGTTTAAAAAATGTGGCTCTCAAAAGAAATTTCAATCGTTGTACTGTTGATATTTGGCTCTGTTGACTAATGAGTTTGCCGACCACTGGCCTAGGGCATGTTCCCTGTGTCTGGTAGTCAGACAACTCACCCTGGTTCCAAACAGCCTGACAGAAAGACTTGGGCCATTGGCCAAAAAAGCACCACAGAGGGGCTTTTTCTCTTTGGCTTTCTAGTTCCTCCTTCCTGTGGTTTCCTGTCACTCCTCCTGGGTCGGCAGAGGGAGCTATATGAAACTGAGACCCTGCACCAAGTGCAAGGGAATCTGAGGCCCTGGCCTGATCCTTGAGGCAGTCTTCCAACTGGTCATTTTATTTTTGACCGCCAAGTCCATACCTGGCCAGCTCCATCACTGGGTGACAGCCAGCCCCAGTCCTGAGTCCTGGATCAATCCCCAGGAAGGAATCCCCATCATGACAGTTTTTCTCCAGGATGGCCCTTGAGTCACCTTGATCCCCACACGAGTGTTGGGGTACTGTTCAGCACCTCCACGGTGCTTGGGAAGGATAGCATTAGGTCTGGGCGTTAGGTTCATTTCTTACAACCAAACCTCTGGCTCTTGAAAGCTGTCCAAGGACCAGACACCAGAGAAGACCTTGGGCCTCTTGTGACAGGTTTACAGCCTGCATCAGTCCACCCTGGTGGCTTCCTCATAGGTTGCTGATTCCAGGGAATAAGACAAGCTCGCCTCTATAGAGTATGACAAATTTGCCCTGAACTGACGGAATAATGGGAATGGGAAAGAACAAGTATATGTGCATAAGTTAAGAGACTGCGCTAAACAGGATGAAAACTGAGGAACTTGGAAAAAGAGCAGATAAAACAAATAAGTAGGTAGTTGTTTGAGGTGAAAAAACAGGCCATAGGACTTTCCCAGGACTTCAGTCTTGGCTATTGTGGTCCTTTTCTTTCCGGCCCTTTCCATCTACCAAGGGCGGGAGGTTTAAGGGCAGGGGATGCATGTTTGTTCCTTTCCAGTGTAAGTGTGCCCAGTACTGGCCAGATCAAGGCTGCTGGACCTATGGGAATATCCGTGTGTCCGTAGAAGATGTGACCGTACTGGTGGACTACACAGTGCGAAAGTTCTGCATTCAGCAGGTACTGTTTTCTACCTCCTTTTCTTGGCTCTTGCTTTGGATCTGCTGACCATTAAGAGGGCAGAATAGGTTGTGTTATTGCCCCTTTTCCTCAGGGTGGTCAGGAAGCTGATTGTGTGTTGTGTTTGGACTCTGAAACCAGAGATCTGGCTCCCAGGGAACTTCTTTTGTGAAAACTAAGGAGCATTTTTATGACTGGGAGAAACATGATTATTATTTTTTTTAATATATTTTATTGATTTTTTACAGAGAGGAAGGGAGAGAGAGAGAGTTAGAAACATCGATGAGAGAGAAACATCTATCAGCTGTCTCCTGCACACCCCCTACTGGGGATGTGCCTGCAACCAAGGTACGTGCCCTTGACCGGAATTGAACCTGGGACCTTTCAGTCCGCAGGCCAACGCTCTATCCACCGAGCCAAACCGGCTAGGGCGAGAAACATGATTATTGAGATGGAGTTTTATCATCTTAGTATGAATCAATTGCATCAGGGGGTGGTTAATCTTCTGGGTACTTGACTCGCTTTTTCTTTTTTATTCCAATGGCTCCTAACATCAAGGATGTGATAAGCCCTGCTCCTGGCCCTCCAGAGTGACCCTGGAGGCTTAAACAGAGGTCACCTTGAGCTGAGGGCAAGTGTAGTGCTATAAAAAGAGAGCTTCCCAAGAGTCAGGAGACCTGCATTTTAGTACTGACCTTGCCATTTACTAGTTCTGAGACCATGACCAGGTCATTTACCTTGAGTTTTACATTCCATATATTGTAGACTGAGAAAAATAGTAATAGTTTACCCAGTAGGGTTCCTGGGATGATTATCTGTTCATTGTTAAAACTTTCTTGGGTACACCCTCATTTCCCTATTGTCACTAACAGCCACAGCTGGCCCTGGCCCCTAAGCCTCACCTTCCCTTCACTGGGGCTGCCCCACCTACCCCAGGGTATCAGGGCCAACACACAGGATTTCCTCACTTCACAGGTGGGCGACATGACCAACAGAAAGCCACAGCGCCTCATCACTCAGTTCCACTTTACCAGCTGGCCAGACTTTGGGGTGCCTTTCACCCCCATCGGTATGCTCAAGTTTCTTAAGAAGGTGAAGGCCTGTAACCCTCAATATGCAGGGGCCATCGTAGTCCATTGCAGGTCAGTGTGGCCTGACCCTCATTTTCCCACTCATACCACACTCTGTTCCCAAGGGAAAGCACAGGCCCTGGCTGAGGAGGCTGGCATAACGCAGATGAGCTGTTAGGTCCCTAGGGTAGCAGAGAGACTCCTCTCTGGTGCTGGTTAGAGATACTCTAGGAAAAAGGGAAGGGCAGTCCTCCAAGATTAGGGTGGGGGTGGGGGTGGGGGGAGACCACTGCTGTGAAGCCAGGAAACTAGGTTGATTGCTGCCTTGTGCAGTGGGAGCCTTCAGGCCCCTATAAGTGTAAAGGTTCTCTAACCCTAGAGGTAAGGAGTTCAAGGTACAGTGGGGTTTGTTGGTTCCCTGAGAGTTCCAGCTCTACCTCATTCAGAATTAGAATTTAGAGGCTTAAAGAAAGAGCCCTGGCCTGTGCTGCCCCCTCCTTACATGCTACCACAAGGCATGTAGGCCATGCCTGTAACACCCCTACTCTCTGGCTACAGTGCGGGTGTAGGGCGGACAGGTACCTTTGTTGTCATCGATGCCATGCTGGACATGATGCATACAGAGCGGAAGGTGGACGTGTATGGCTTTGTGAGCCGGATCCGGGCACAGCGCTGCCAGATGGTGCAAACAGATGTGAGTGATTTGCGGGTGAAGCAAGGTGGGGGCATGCCAGGACCAAAACATCTGCCACCTCATGGATTACTCAGTCTCCCAGGTTATTGTGAATGATCATCATACAGTGTGATGAAGGGCCCTGGTAAAATGTGCATTAAGAGAGACATGGAGCACAGAGGGCGTTGTACCTAGGGGAATTGGGAAGGCAGGTGTCATTTGCACTGGGCTCATTTGCACAGGATAAGGAACAGGTCCTGAGGGAAGCAGGCATGCAGCAGCTGAAAGAGCTAGTCCCTGCAGAATTGTGACACAGTTCAGCTATATCCAGCTTATCCTTACTGTTGAGATCAACTCTGTGGTTAGGGCATGGGGCACAGTGCTGGGAGGCAGGCTGGCACAGGTTTTGTGTGTCGCCAGATTTTGATAGTCCCTTCAGACTATCAAATCTTTCCCGTAGAATAGGCAGGAGTTGGATTTGTTTTTCTCTCCAGGCTTTCACTCCAGAAGGTTGCCAGAGTAGGACCCTCTCTCCCAAGCTCAGCACCCCAGGGTGACTCATAAATTTCAAGCCCTGTGTCACTGAATTGGGACAGTTAGAGTGAATTGTTTTATCCCTGCTAGGATCAAAGGAGAAGTGGACTGGAGGGAAATGGGGGTCGGAGGGGGTAGGTCTGCCACCATAGGGATAGTGTTGTGTGTAACTCAGAACTCGGGTACCATCCGGCTTCAGATGCAGTACGTCTTCATATACCAAGCCCTTCTGGAGCATTATCTCTATGGAGATACAGAACTGGAAGTGACCTCTCTAGAAACACATCTGCAGAAAATTTACAACAAAATCCCAGGGACCAGCAACAATGGATTAGAGGAGGAGTTTAAGGTGAGTTGGACCTGAACCACCTTTTCAGATTGAAGGATTCATGTGATGTGGGAAATGTGGGATGCTTGACTCCTTGTAGATTTACCAACAGATGATGAAAACACTTACAAGGTATGTGAGTGGTTAAGGAGGTGGGTCTCTGGCCCTTTGCTCATACCCTGGTCATTCTCAACCCATCCTGCACATTAGAATCACTTGGTTTGTTTTGGGGGTAACAGGCAATGGTAATTTTTTTTTTTATCCTCACCGAGGATGTGATTATTGAATTTAAGAAAGGAAGGGGGGAGAGAGAGAGAAAAACATTGCTGTGAGAGAAATATCCATCAGTTGCCTCCAGGACACACCCCAACTGGGGATCATACCCACAGCCTAGGTGTGTGTCCTGACCAGGAAGCCAACCTGCAAGGGATGACGCTCCAACCACTGAGCCACATGGCTAAAGCAGCAATTATATTTTTTGTTGTTATTGTTAGTCCTCACCCGAGTCAGAAAGTGGTATATATTTGAATAAGGTTTTCTAAAGAGTCAAAGACAGCCTCGGGTGGAACAGCAGGGAGAGGGAAGGTGGACCTCCTGTCAGGCTAAGATCTTTGCTCCATGATCATTAAGTTCCAGCCCAGGGGAATCCAGAAGGGTCCACAGGAGCCTGGAAGGAAGGCAGTTTCCCAAGCACTTTTTTGACTTGTTGACTGAGCTTAAAGACAGAAGAAAGTGTTCCAACAAAGACATGGTGGAAATGAAGGTCAGGGTTATGGTGAGGAGCTGTATGCAGCCAGAATGGCTTAGAGACACAGATTCAGTGACAGGCATAATCTTATCAAGTTCAGTTACTGGGATCAGTAATGTTTTCCCTCCCCTTCCCAATTCAGAAATTAACATCAATCAAAATCCAGAATGACAAGATGCGGACTGGAAACCTTCCAGCCAACATGAAGAAGAACCGGGTTTTACAGATCATTCCATGTAAGAGCCCTCTCCTCACCCCCAAAGCCTTCGCCTCCAACCCTTCCCCTATACCTTTTCCACTTCTCAGGTACTAGTTAATGATCCGCTTGGAGACAAGAATTATGGCATTGCCTCTCGTTGCCCTCAGTTCTTTAATGGCTTCAAAAATAAAAGAGCATGAAAGCCAAAGGGATTCTCCCTCCTGGTCAGAGAACAAACATGTTACTGCCCAGCTAGAATATATCTGCCCAGAGCCTGGGGTCGGGGGGAAAGATGGAAAGAGAGGGAGGAGAGGACAAGTGATATTGAGGAACCACAATCTGCTGTCCTTCCTACAGATGAGTTCAACAGAGTGATCATTCCAGTTAAGAGGGGTGAGGAGAACACAGACTACGTGAACGCATCCTTCATTGACGTAAGTGCTATCTGTGTCCCCAGAGCTCCCAACACTCCATGGAGATTCATCTGCGCCTTGCATTCCCCTCATTCCCCAGGTGTTGGGAAAGTTATCTTTGAATCAATCATCAGTTCAGAACTGATCTCTACCCTAGATCTGTCAGGTTCCAGAGAGCAGAAGATGGGGGGAAGCAGAGGCTATACCAGGGTTATAACTGGAGGAAAAAGTTCACAACACAAACCACAGCCAAAGGCTGAAAACCTCTGATCTTCCCATTCCTACCGGCAAAAGGACAACATCGCCAACCAGGGCCCACTTCTCCCTCCTTCCCTCACCCTCATAGAAAAAGACCAGCTTATCAGACAGAGTTTGGTCCTTGGCCAAAAGGGATCTCTGCCTAAAATGGATTTGCCTCCAAGCAGCCCCATCCCTTCCTAGTAGCCTCTTCTCCACTGGCCCCTCCCTGATTAAACCACCTCACTGCTACCATTGACATGGCCCGTACAGGGCTACCGGCAGAAGGACTCCTACATCGCCAGCCAGGGCCCTCTTCTCCACACAATTGAGGACTTCTGGCGAATGATCTGGGAGTGGAAATCCTGCTCTATCGTGATGCTGACAGAACTGGAGGAGAGAGGCCAGGTGAGCACAAAAAGGTCCTGGGCTGTAGGAAACAGAGGACACATGAAAGCTGGTGGGGTGGGGAGGGGGTTATGGGGTATATTTGGACCTTTTCTTTAACTTAAACTGCCCAAAGAGCCATCTCTAGGCAGTATTGCCCAGCCAGTTGGCATCTGAGCAATCAGGAGCTTCTCTCAGGACTGGAAGAGCAGTGTGGTCTGAGCTTGCATTCAGTTTTCAGACAGCTCACACCCTCTCTTCTCCTGAATACAGCTTGTCCTCCCTACCCACAGCCTAGCTTTGTGCATACTCTCCTCCCACCTCCCCAGGCAGGGCAGGGCTCTCCATCAACAGGATCCCAAGGCGTCTTTAGCCTGGGCCACAATGGGTATAGCCTCTGCGAGCCCCTGGTCCGGATTCCTCAGGCCCATGTTATACCTCCCAAGGAAGGCAGGGAGTCCCTGCCCTTTTGCCTAGAGGAGAGTCATTTTCAATAGATTTGTACACTGAAGTTTCTCTTTTTAAACATTCCAAAGCCTGTACCTTCTCCCCCAAAACCTTGCCTTCCAGCAGCTTAACTCAGCCTTTGAACTAGTGCTACCTCAGTAACAGCTCTCTGCCGTCTCCCACCTCACAGCCACAGGAAGCGCCCTGGAGTTCCATTTGCCTCCGTTGTTCCCCTCTTCTCTCAAGTAGCTGGCTTTAAGTCCACCTGCTTCCTTGTTTGTGTTGTTCTGTCCACATGGAGGGCTAAATTAAATAAATCCTGTAGCCTTCACCTGGCTGAGTAGGATAAGTTCCTGCCATCAGTTCAACATCTGTATTTGTCTTAATGTGGCTTCTCTTTATTCTTTAAATCCTAAAATTTTACCAGGCTTGTTTTCTCTCAGCACACCATACCTGCTTCCCTACAATAACTGTGTCACCTTGAAACTCACTCTGCAGCGCTAACGTAATTCTTTGGTTCTGACCATCTGTAACCACCTGGGGTAGTTGTCCCCATTAGTTGGCCACAGCAGGTCCCCCATTTGCTTTTACTGTTGACCAACTCCCTGCCCTGTTTTAAGAAGGGACTTTCTTGATAGTTTCCCAACTCTGTATCCCTGGGGACCTCCTTCCAGTCTGCCCCTTTTCTTCTCTGTTATGCCTCTTTGCCTAAACTAAGATCTAAAATATCTTAAAGCTGTTAGGTGTGGGACCATAGTACAGTTGACCCTTGAACACAGGGGTTGGGGCCCTGACCCCCCTCACAGTTGAAAGTCCATGTATAACTTTTAACTCTCCAAGCACTTCAGTCATCTCTTGCTACGTTCAGGGGATTGGTTCCAGGAATCGCCATGGATTTCCAACCACAGATTAAAAATACTGTTTTCAGGCCATGGTTGGTAGAATTCACGGGTGTGAAACCTGGGAATACAGAGGACTGACTGTATATTTAATGAAAAACAGGCCCATATTAGTAACCTGTGTAGGTCAAACCTGTGTTGTTCGAGCATCCACAGGATATTTTTCTTGTCATTGTGTGGTTCTAGCTCATACTCTGTTACTGTCAAGCCCGTTTGGATCTTAGCAGTTCTAATAATTCAAAAGCCCCAATCTTCAGTCCTAATAACTGTGTGAAGGCATGTTGGGAGGGAACTGTGGTAGAAAAATTCATTCTAGCCCCAGCTGGTTCAGCTCAGTGTATAGAGCGTCAGTCTGCAGACTGAAGGGTCCTAGGTTCGATTCCAATCAAGGGCACATGCCCGGGTTGCAGGCTTGATCCCCAGTAGGGGGCGTGCAGGAGGCAGCCGATCAATGATTTTCTCTCATCATTGATGTTACTATCTCTCTCTCCCTCTCCCTGCCTCTCTGAAATCAATAAAAGGATATTTTTTAAAAAAAGAAAGAAAGAAAAAGAAAAATTCATTCTAGCTCTGGGCAGTGTGGCTCAGTTGGCTGGGCATTCTCCTGTGCATCGAAAGGTTACCAATTGGATTCCCGGTCAGGGCACATGCCCAGGTTGCGGGATTGATCCCCAGTAGGGCACATGCAGGAAGCAGCCAATTGATGTTTCTCTCTCTCCTTTTCCCTTCCCCTTTCTCTGAAATCAATTTAAAAATAAAATTCAATTTAAAAAAAGACAAAGAGGGGGAAAAAGAGAATAATAAAATAAAGTAGAAACTTATTCTACCCGCCAGAGCCCTAAAAAACAGTAGAATCTATGCAAATGATCCTTATTAGGATTAACTGAAGAGTGGGGCTCACCCCAAGGCCACCCCTGGCTCCTAGTGGGCCCACGTATAATAGCACTGGTCTGTGGCATTTATTTGATCCACCACTTTACTAATCCTTACCCGAGGATATGTTTATTTTTTTATTGATTTTTAGGGAGAGAAACATCAATATGAGAGAAACATCGATTGGTTGCCTCCTGTATGCACCCCATCGGAAATCAGATTGCAACTTTTTGGTGAACAGGACAGTGTTCCAACCAACTGAGCCCCTCATCCAGGGCCAATAATCCTGTGTTTTAAAATAAGCTCATTATTATGTATAAAGGGGGTAGTGAATGATCACAAATATAAAAGGCAAGAAAGTGTACTAAAATTTACTTTTTTTCTTTGAGAGTCAGAAAGCTTTAACTATCAGTGGTATTTATTTTTCTACTTAATTTCCCCAAATCTTTTATAATGAACATAGAACACATTTATGGTTGAGGATTTTTTTTAAAATGTGTTTTTATTCATTTTTTTAAATCCTCACCCAAGGATATTTTTTCCATTGATTTTTAGAGAGAGTGGAATGGAGAGGGAGAGACAGAAGCACCAATGTGAGGGAGACACATCGATTGGTTGCCTCCCACATGCCTCCAACCAGGGCCGGGAGCTTGCAACCAAGGTATATGCCCTTGACTGGAATTGAACCCTTCAGTCCAGAGGCTGATGGTAGGGGTTATTAAGGATTTTTAAATTGCCAGTAATGAAGTATCTAAGATACTCCCCCAAATGCTCTAAAGAAATGAACAGGATTTTGTTTTATTTATGTATTTATTAGAGGCCCAGAGCATGAAATTCGTGCACGGATGGGGTCCCTAGCGGCTGCCAGCCGGGGCCTCCCTTCCCCAGGTGCTGGCTGCTGGCTGGGGCCTTCCTTCATTCCGTGCTGCCCCGTGGTGGTCAGCGCACATCATAGCGAGTGATCGAACTTCCGGTTGGTCGAACTCCTGAGGGGACACTTTGCATATTAGGCTTTTATATATAGACTAGAGGCCCGGTGCACAAAAATTTGTGCACTCGGGGGGGGGGGTGTCCCTCAGCCCGGCCTGTGCCCTCTAGCAGTCTAGGACCCCTCGGGAGATAACGACCTGCTGGCTTAGGCCCGCTCCCAGGTGGCAGAGGGCAGGCCCAATCCCTAGGTGCAGCCCCTGGTCGGGCTCAGAGTAAGGCCGATTGGGGAGTTGGGGCGCCGCCCCCTGTCATGCACAGAGCAGGGCGGATTGGGAGGTTGTGATGCCACCCTCAGTAACGCTCAGGGTAGGGCCGATTGTGGGGTTGGGGCACCGCCCCCTGTCACACTCAAGGCAGGGTCAATGGGGAGGTTGCGACACCACCCCCTGTCATGCACAGAGCAGGGCCAATCGGGGTTGGGGCACTGCCCCCTGTCACTCACAGAGCAGGGCCCATCAGGGGGGTTGGGGCTCCGTACCCTGTCACGCACAGAGCAGTGTCAATCAGGGGGTTGGGGAGCTCCCCCCTGTCACTCACAGAGTAGGGCCGATAGGGGAGTTGGGGCACCGCCCCCTGTCACACACAGAGCAGGGCGGATCAGGGGGTTGGGGCGCCGCCCTCTATCACCCACAGAGCAGGGCCGATCAGGGGGTTGGGGCGCCGCCACTGTCACACTCAGGGCAGGGCCAATGGGGAGGTTATGGCTCTACCCCATCACACACAGAGCAGGGCCCATGGGGGGTGGGCGGAGGGTGTTGGGGCGCCGCCCTCTATCACCCACAGAGCAGGGCTGATCAGGGGGTTGGGGCACCGCCACTCTCACACTCAGGGCAGGGCCGACGGGGAGGTTATGGCTCTACCCCGTCACACACACAGCAGGGCCCGTGGGGGCGGGTTGGGGCGCCGCACCCTGTCACACACAGAGCCACAGGGCGATCAGGGGGTTGGGGAGCTCCCCCCTATCAGGCACAGAGCAGGGACAATCAGGGGGCTGGGGCGCTGCCCCGTCACACACAGAGCAGGGCCTATCAGGGGGTTGGGGCGCCGCAGCCTGTCACACACAGAGCCGCAGGGCGATCAGCGAGTTTGGGCACTGCCCCCTTTCATGCTGATCCCGGTGCCAGGAGGCCTCACGGCTCCGCTGATCCTGGTGCTGGGAGGCATATTACCCTTTTACTATATAGGGTAGAGGCCTGGTGCATGGGTGGGGGCTGGCTGGTTTGCCCTGAAGGGTGTCCTGGATCAGGGTGGGGGTCCCCACTGGGGTGCCTGGCCAGCCTGGGTGAGGGGATGATGGCTGTTTGCAGCTGGTCACACACCCTTCAGGGTGGGGGTCCCCACTGGGGTGCCTGGCCAGTCTGGGTGAGGGGCTGAGGGCTGTTTTCAGGCTGGCGGGTGACTAAAGCTCCCAACTGCTCCTTTTTATTATTATTATTTTTTATTCTGGGCCAGTTTTAGCTCTGACTCCAGCTCTGAGGCCTCTGCTGCTGAAAGCAGATATCTGGTTGGTTTGGGTTCTATAATCGAAACACTGTATCAACTCTAGCTCTGAGATCCCGGCTCGCTGAAAGCAGGTTTCTGGAGTTTTGTTTAGCTTCTATATTTGTAACTATGTTTCAGACTGCAAGCTCAGAGGCCGGCAAGGCAGGTGGGGAAGGTTGGTTTCGTCCGTCACTGAAGCAAGCAAGCCTCATGTTAGTTTCAAGCTGCCTGGCTGCCGGCCGCCATCTTGGCTGGCAGTTAATTTGCATATCGCCCTGATTAGCCAATGGGAAGGGTAGCGGACGTACGCTAATTACCATGTTTCTCTTTTATTAGATAGGATACCTTGGGTTGTTCTATAGACATTGAACAAATTCATTTATCAGATACTTACTGAGACCTAACATAGGCAGGCATTGTGAAAGGTGCTGGGAATACAAAGATGAAGAGAAGCAGCCCCAGCCCACAAGAAGCTGTAGAGGGAACTGAGTTGGGTATAAAAAAAAGAACAACACAACAGACGGTAGTCCTGGCCTGTATGGTTCAGTTGGTTGGGTATTGTCCTGTCCACTGAAAGATTTCGGGCTTAATCCCCAGTAGAGGGCATGCAGGAGGCAGTCATCAGTGTTGCCCTCTCATCTCTCTCATCTCTCTCTCTCTCTCTCTCTCTCTTTTCCCCCCTCTCTCCCTCTCTCTCTCCCTCCCTCCCTCCCTCTCCCCCTCTCCTTCTCCCTCTCTCCCTCCCTCTCCCCCTCTCCTTCTCCCTCCCTCCTTCCCTCCTTTCCCCCCTTCCCCTCTCTCTAAAAGTCAATAAAAAAATCTTTAAAGTAAAAAACAGACAGCAAACCATCTTCTCACTAGCAAGGACAGACATGCAAGTGCTAGCAACTTTAAGGTACCGTTGCAGATGAAAGAAAGAAATAAAAAGAAGAATGACGGCATATTGTGGACTGGGCTGTGGTAAAGCACCATGGCTAGGCAAGGGTGATATAATTGGGTTCGGTTTTTCTGGATTAGCAGTCTGGCATGTAAACAGCTATAAGATATGGGAACGCTCCAAGGAAACAAAGGGAGGGGAGAAGTTGGAACAAAGATATTCACTCCTCCTTACCCTCCACCCTGCCACTGAGTGTTGGATGCCCCTATGGGGTGATGGTCGAGTTTTTCTAGGACTCTATCAGTGTTGCAAAGTACACCGTAAGTAACACCAAATGCTTAATTGATTATCTCTGGTAGTGGAAATAAGTTGTTAAATATAGATGTCCTGGAGTAATGTTAAGTAACGTTATGACCCTCTGAGTTTTCAATACTTTGGGGATGGTGTGTATTGGGTAACAGGTAGCTGTGCTGGGAAGAGGGCAGGCAGTTCATGGGGCAGCCCCGCCTCTTCCACACATGGTGTTATGAGCCCCTTACACTCTCATTTGTCCTTCCAGGAGAAGTGTGCCCAATACTGGCCCTCAGATGGACTGGTGTCCTATGGAGACATCACAGTGGAGCTGAAGAAGGAGGAGGAATGTGAGAGCTACACCGTCAGAGACCTCCTGGTCACCAACACCAGGGTAAGATGGCTGGTGGATGAGGCTTCTCCCACAGGGAAACCTGGGTGCCCCTACCTCTCTGATGACCCTTCCTCCAAAGGAGAACAAGAGCAGGCAGATCCGGCAGTTCCACTTCCATGGTTGGCCTGAAGTGGGCATCCCCAGCGATGGGAAGGGCATGATCAACATCATCGCAGCCGTGCAGAAGCAGCAGCAGCAGTCAGGGAACCACCCTATCACCGTGCACTGCAGGTACCGCTTACCCCAGCCCTCAGAGGGAGAGAAAAAAAGTGATGAGAAGCAGGCCAGTTGGAGGCAATCATAAGCATGGATCAGACAGTGAGGATGGGTGGACGAGAACAGTTTGTTGGTGAGCACATGGCAATCAATTTCCATGACCCTAGGACTGGGCCATATGATAGGAGAGGATCCTGGTGTTTGAACTTCGCACATTATGTGTCGGGGAACCTGGCCTCCTTGTGAAACACAGGAATGAGAAAAGCAATTATTGAAGACAGTTTGGAGAAAAATGAACAAGACTAAGAACATAGTTGTGAAAGAGAAGAGGAGTCAGGGTGTCTCCCAGGTTTGAGACAGGGTTACTGGTAATGGTGTCACAGAAGAAAGATGGTAAAAGGGGTCTCATTGCGGGAGGGAGGGGAAGGTGAATTTTCTTTGGAGCATGTTCGCGATTACATTTTAGAAAAAATATTTACCATGAGTTTGTAACTAGGAAAAATATCTATTTTAAAGGGAAAGGAAGAATATATTAAAAATTTCTACAGCCCTAGCCAGTTTGAATAGAGCAGCGGTTCTCAACCTGTGGGTCGCGAGCCCTTTGGGGGTCGAACAACCCTTTCATAGGGGTCACCTAAGACCATCAGAAAATACATATATAATTACATATTGTTTTTGTGATTAATCACTATGCTTTAATTATGTTCAATTTGTAACAATGAAAATACATCCTGCATATCAGATATTTACATTACGATTCATAACAGTAGCAAAATTACAGTTATGAAGTAGCAACGAAAATAATTTTATGGTTGGGGGTCACCACAACATGAGGAACTGTATTAAAGGATCGTGGCATTAGGAAGGTTGAGAACCACTGGAATAGAGCATTGCCCTTGGACTGAAGGGTCCAGGGTTCAATTCCATTCAAGGGTACGTACCTAGGTTGCAGGCTCAATCCCTGGCCCTGGTTGGGGCATGTGCAGGAGGCAACCAATCGATGTTTCTCTCTCTCTCTCTTTCCCCCTCCCTTCCACTTTCTCTAAAAAGCAATTGAAAACATCCTCACGTGAGGATTAACAAAAAAAAGAAAAGAGTAAGTTAATTTAATAAAAAATTCCTGCAAATTAGTTTGAAAATAGATAAAGGAGCAAAGGAACTTCTAGGAATGTATCCAGTAAATGTTCTTCAAGTGGCCAAAATGAAATAATTACAAGGATTTGAACCACTGCTTCTAATAGTAAAATATTATAAATAATGTAAACATATATTAATAAGGGACTGATTCAGTAAGCTCTGATATGTCTCATACTACAGAGCTGTAAAAAATTGATGAGGAATCTGTTTATAGACTGGTATGGAATAATCCTCTAGATTTATTTTTGGTGAGAAAAGTAGTGGGAGACAGGAAAAGAATATGTATATGTTTATGTTGGTTTAAGCATAAAATACCTCTGCAAGGACACACAAGGACCTGATGACATTGCTTGTTTCCCAGGAGGTAATTTGAAGGGCAGAGAAATGAAGTAGGAAGGAGAGTTTTGGACCTTTTTGAAATTTGAACTATGCTAATTAATATCTGTACAAAAATAAATCATTTTAAAAGGTGAAGAGGAAAAAGGCAAAGTACATTAACTAATACTAACGAATAGTAAACATGGAATGATGCTAGACCTTCCTCAGAATATGAGAAATGGGAATGAAAACAATGAAACATGGCTCTTGCCCATTGGACCGGCAAAAGTAAAAGGATTCAGTGGCCTAGAGACTTCCTGCCCATACTTTTTATCCCTTGGTCACCCTTGCTCTTCACCCTTGGTCACCCTCTCTTAGGACATCCCAGATTCTCTAGCTACCATACCTGCACCATGCAGGTGAATGTGGCCGAAGAAAAGCACTGTGTTATGGGCCTCATTTTACATTTCTGACCCCTGACCTCGTGGTTGGCCCTTAGTGCTTCCCTGCAGTCCTGTGCATCTCCCAGTCTCCTAGACCAGAGCTAGGCAAGTAGGGCCCATCACCAAATCCAGCCTGCCACCTGGTTTCGTGTGAGCCTGCAAGCTAAGAACTGTTTTTATATTTTTAAGTGGTTTTTTAAAAATCAAAGACTATTATTTCATGGCATGAAAATTACATAAAATTCAAGGTTTATTGGAACACAACTATGCTCATGTGTTTGTATTGGTCGTGGCAACTCTCATGCTCCAGTGGTAGATCTGAGGTCTTAGTGGAGCCCTCCTCATCGCACAGTGCTGCTCAGCACACAATAAGTTACAATTGCCCCGTTATTACTCAGTTTTATCTCTTCCCAGAAAAACCTAAAATATTTCTATCTGGCCCTTTATAGAAAAACTTGCCAGCCTTTTTCCCAGATGATTATTTCATGCCTCCTTTCAAATCTCAAACCTCCAGCACCTCTCCCATCCTCATATTTAAAAGGTGACTGTGTTTTCTATCTAAGAAAAGAGAAGCAATCAGAGAGAACTTCCACATACTCCCACCACCACAGCTCATCATCTACCTGTGCTGGTGCTGTGGACCCTGCAGCCCTCCTGTTCAGTGGATGAGTTGTCTGACCTCTCTGAAGGCAGCTACGTTAATCATCTCTTGTTGTGTAATATTACCACAAACTTAACATCTGAGAACAACACACATTTATCTCTCAGTCTCTGTGATCAGGATTCTGACATGTCTCAGCTGAGTCTTGTGCTTCAGGGTCTCACAAGGTTACAATCAAGGTGCTGGCCAGGGCTGTGGACCCACCTGAGGCTCAGACAGGGAAGGATCCACCTCCAAGCGTGCTTGGTTGTTGGTAGCATTCAGTTCCTTGTAGGTGCTGGACTGGAAGCCTCTTGTTTGAAGTTTCTTGCAACATGGACCTCAGTATGGGTGCTTGTTTCTTCTAAGCCAGCAAAGGAGAGAGCATCTTGCAAAACAGGCATTAGGATCTCATGTAACATAATCATGTATATGTAATTGTATACATGCTATCACTTGCTCTTTCTGTTGGTTAGTAGCATATCACAGGTCCCTCCCACACTCAAGGGAGTGGGATCACACAAGGGCATGAACACCAGACAGGCCACACTAGAGCTTGTCTGCACCCTGACCCTCCACTTAGATATCAGTTCTGTCTCCTTTTATCTCCTCAGGGACATGACTTCACTATGCTACATGATCTTCTCAAATAACTACCTACATAACTACATCTTCATACAAATTTGCTATAATTTCTCCCATCTTAATATTTTTTAAAAAAACTCTGCCTCCAATTCTCCCCCAGCTACTCCTCTATTTCTCTGTTTTCCTTAATATTAATGGTTCTTAAAAGCTTTGTTCATACTTACTCTCCAACTAGTCTCCTCCCTTTCTCTCTTGATTCCATTCCAATTACAAACACACACACACACTCATACTCCATTGTAGCTGCCCCTGGGAGGGGCACCTGTGACCTTTCCCAGGTCACAGTCTCATTATCCTTCACCTTCATCAGTACAGTGGGGCCTTGACTTACGAGTTTGATTCGTTCTGAGACCAAGCTCGTTAAGGAGCTCGTTAACTCAAATTACTCTGTCAACTCAAAGCAAAAAATCGGTGGAGAGACAGCTGGTATCTCAAAAAACTCGTTAGTCGGGACACTCGTAAGTCAAGGCCCCACTGTATTGGACAGTTGATCGCTCACGTCTCTATGGAATGCTTTCAGCATAGCTTCTCTCCTGCAGCCCTCCTGTTCAGTTTTTGTCGTCATCAGCTGTTCCTTCTCTGTCGCCTTTGCCCATTCCTTTCCATCTGTGGTCTGGGCCCTAGTCCTTGGACCTCTTCTATGTCAACTAACAGTCACTACCCTAGGTGAGCCCGTCTGAGTCTCCTGGCTTTGATACCAGCATCCAAATCTTTTTTTTAAATCCTCACTCAGTATTTTTTCCATTGATTTTTAGAGAGAGTGGAAGGAAGAGGAAGAGTCAGGGACACATCAGTTGGTTGCCTCCCGAATGCCCCTGACCAGGGCAGGGAGCCTGCAACTGAGGTATGTGCCCTTGATTAGAACCGAACCTGGGATCCTTCAGCCCATAGGCCAGCAATCTATCCCGAGCCAAATGGGCTAGGGCAGCACCCAAATCTTTATATATATATATGCACGCACACACACACACAAATACACACATATATATATGATTTCAGAGAGGAAGAGAAAGGGAAAGAGAGAAACATCAATGATGAGAAAGAAATACCCCACACTGGGGATTGAGCCCGCAACCCAAGCACGTGCCCTTCACCGGAATCAAACCCGGGACCCTTCAGTCTGCAGGCGGACGTTCTATCCACTGAGCCAAACAGGCTAGTGCAGCACCCAAATCTTCATCACCAGTTCAACCTCTCCCCTAAACTTCATATTCATATATCTTAACCTCAGCAGTTCCACTTGAGCATTTCAGTTTAAAGGGTTTCAGTCAGAACAGATACTTCTTTCTAAGCCTACTGTTGCCATAACCTTCTCCAAATCAGTAAGTGGCATTTCAGTCACCACTCAACTCAAGTGAGATGCCTTAAAGTCTTCCTGTTCTCCTCTTTTTTTCTCATACATGTTCATCGAATGCTCTACCTTGCTCTACATGCAAAATAATTTCAGAACCAAGTGTTCTCACTCCCTCCACCAGGACCTCTCTGTCCAAGCCACATCCCCTTTTCCCAGTAATTATACTGGCCTCACTGCTTTTCCTGTTTCCACCCTTTCCCCAGCTCTCCCCACCCTTCCTAGAACTCTTGTTTCTCTTTTTCCTTCCTGTGCTGCGTATCTTACCATCTGGGGATACTGCTGCCCACCACAGTCCCTACCACACAGCAGGCACTCAGTAGGGTCTGGTGAGTGAATCAACTGGTAACATTAAACAGGGTGGACAGTGTCATGGCGAGAATTTGGATTCCTAGGATTTAGGAAGAAAATGAGAGGCGTGGAAAAGAATCAGCACACACATACTAGTGCAGAGGCAGGTGTGCCAGGGGAAAGAGGATGAGAACTCTAACATGAGTGAGCAGCAGGTCAGGGCAGTCCAGGCTTGTTTGTAGGTAGACACCAAAGGCTCAGTGCTGTCCCATAGGCTAGTCCCTCACCAGGCAAAGTAGGCGGTGCAGGGAGGGCAGCAGGGGTGCACCTGCCTCCCCAGAGCTATGTGAGCAGGGGCTTATGTGGTGAGGAGCAGACGGGCCTCCTGCTCCACCCCCAGCACCAACTTCAGCCTTTATCCACTCACTGCCACCTTCACTCACCTTGTCAGCTCAGAGGGTTGGTGTATTGTTTGTCTTCTCTATTACAGTGCGGGGGCAGGACGGACAGGGACCTTCTGTGCCCTAAGCACAGTCCTGGAACGGGTGAAAGCGGAGGGGATTCTGGATGTCTTCCAAACTGTCAAGAGCCTGCGGCTGCAGAGGCCACACATGGTCCAGACACTGGTATGCTGCCGTGTGTGTCCACACCCCCTGTAGCCCTTCTTCATCAGGGCAGCTCAGGGGGGGGCTCTTCCTAGTTGTCAGAGCCTATATAATTGCAGACCCGTTCTTCCCTTCCCCAGGGTGCCCCAGACAGAACAAGCCCTGTCGCCAGTAACTCTCTTCCTGGTGCACCCCTGCCTGGCCTGGGCAGGGCACCCCATGGGCTTGTCACACTTCTCCATGAGTCCGGGGAAGGGAAGACTCAGGAGTGCCTCCTCTCTTCCGCTCAGGCTCCCTGTGAAGAGGTCTGGCTCCTGACAGTCTGACCAGTAACCACTGAGTATGGGGAAAATAAATTTTAAGATATTTGGGAGTTAATGAGGTGCCTCAAGCCTGACAGGCATAGTGAGATGTGGGCCACACAGCCATCTCCCCACCAGCTCTACCAAACTAGCACACATCTGACCGCTTCTTCTCTGGTCGCCTCCATCTGTAGATGAGCTGCCCTCACCCAGAAGGGGATGCTGTCAGAACTCGGGCAGGAACCGCGTGTATGTTCTCATCAGTAACCCTGGCTTCCCCCTTTCGCTCTCCAGGAACAGTACGAGTTCTGCTACAAGGTGGTGCAGGAATATATCGATGCATTCTCAGATTATGCCAACTTCAAGTAAGGTGATGAGACCGTGGACAGGAGCATTGCCTTTAATATTTTGTAATATTCTGTTTGTTAATATACCCAAAATTGTGTATATATCTTATAACTGTTTTAGAAATTGGTACATAGGCTTCTATTACTTATTAGGTGGAAATTTTATATGTAAATGTGATAGCACTGATATTCCTTTTTCCAATGTTTTATTGGGGAATTAAATAGTGTGATGTTTGGACTGATATTGTGAAATTCTCTGCCTGGAAGTTGGGCTGAATTGTTCTGTATTTTACACATCTTTTCCTAAAGAAGAAACACGAAACCCTTTCCAGGTAGCTTGGCATCAACTAAGACAAAAGCACAAAGCTCTCAGAGCTCTTGAGGAAATTGGTTGTCCCCCTCTACGCAGCCTCTTCTCCCACCACCCACATCCATCATGGGAGTAAGGGAACCAGAGTGGTACCTCTGTCACCACACAAGGGATTATCAGGTAATAAAAGCTTTGCCTCCCTGAGGAAACGTCTCTCCCTTTGTCTGGGGTGGGGCAGCCATACCAGAGCGGGGGCTCTCCTGGGCCACTCCTGACCCTGCTGGTACTGTTTGGTCTCAGCTGGCCCCAGAGAGGCCAGTCCTCCTGACTCCTCCTTTCCAATAAGTGCAGCCCCTCCAGCACTTGGCTACATGCCAAGGACCCACCTTCCCTTCCCAGCCCATCTTTGGTGCAGTGGTCCCAGCCAGCCTGGCACTCTGGGAAGATAGCCAAGGGCATTGAGGAGAGAGGAAGTGGCTCGGGGCTAAGGCCAGTCTGACCTCTCTGGTGCTTTGTTACAAAACTACCTGGATTGTGTCACTCTGCCCAGAATAAGTCTTTATTCTCACACTTACTGTGTAAATAGCTTCAATTTTCTTTCACATCTGTCCTCGTTTCCAGGACTTTTATGTGGAAGTGCCTCAGATTCTGGATGGTGGGAGTCTTAGATTCCAACTTGATTTTGAGCTGAATATTAGGTCATAGTGTTTAACTTTTGTGTCTCAAATAAGGTGGATGTTCATTTATTTCTCATGTAATTGTCTGCCCAGTCCAGAGGCTCAGTATCCTCCCATCTCGTGGTTCCAGTGTCCCTTAGGGTGTTATTCTTTTCTTCATGGTTGGAGCTGGATCACTGTCTTTTCCCATGGAGAACGAAAAACAGTGGAAAGCAAGCAACTTCATTTTTAAGGACATGAAGCAAAATTTGCACTTTTCATTCTCATACATATCCCATTGGTTAAAACCTAGTCATAAGGCCACACCTAGCTACAGTGAGGCTGGGAAATGTAGTCTTTGGGAGCACAGCTGGGAGAGGGGGCCTGTCCACTGCCTCCTATCCTCACAAGCAGCTCATCATGGGCACAAGAGAATAAACTGTTTGGCATGGCTGTCAATGCAGGACTGAGAGAGGCCTGCAGCCTGGCCTGGCCTGTAGGGCATTTCTTGAGGAGCAGGGCCAGGCCCTGGGCCTTCTCAGGCTCAGGACTGAGAGGTGACACCCTAGCCTGGTCCATGAAGGCACACTTGAGATATCAGTGCTGCTGTGCTTCTTGGAGGTGGGACTTGAACTGGACCCAAGGGATGCTGGATATTCAGATGAGTGAAAGGAGGAAAGGTCAGGTGGAGTCACATTACAGAGGACCTCGGAATCCAAGCAAGCAAGGACACCACGGCTCCAAGACGGGAGCCAAGTTTTGTACCACGTTCAGGATGTCTGCAGGGACACAACAGACCACCTCTGGAAGCTTGCAGGAGGTGAGTATGTGTCAGTGGAAGAACTCAGTCCCTTCTGTACGAACTAAGGAACTCCACGGGGCAATAAACTCCGATTTCAGTAGTTTTAAAAGAAGCCTGGATAAATTAAGCAATGACAGAATCTGATGAATTTCTGATGAGAGGAGCTGTGTTTGGGGAAAAGACCCTGGCTCCTCGAACAAGCTACTTTTTGGTGTTTCTGTGTGACCAAGTCCAGGCAGATGGAGGAGGGCAGGCTTTGGGTCAGTAGGCTGTGCCGGAACGAGCAGAAGAGCCCTCGACATGCCCTCCACAGGCCCTGCCTCCCCTCCTCCCAGCAGGCTGCTCAACTGTTACCAGGGCTGGTACTGAGCAGCTGCACACTATTTTGGCCCGATGATTTTCTGCTGGAGTTCATGCTGATTTGACCAGTGGCTGGGCCAATATTGTAAATATCACCTGGTTAACAGACGTCTTCAAGCAGGATTCACATGTTTTCAAGAGACATAAACCCAACAGGAACTAGTCTGGGCTAAAAGGAAAGTGTATTGGGGCTCACACAGCATGATTGTGTGGGAAGGGCAGGGGTGACTACTTCATTCAGTGACCACCCGTCAGCCAGGATTTCTCAAAAGGGGAAGAGTGGTGTCCATTGCCCACCACACACCAAGAACTCTGGGGTCTGCCACACCCTCAGAGACCTCACTTCAACTAGTCAGCTCTCTCCTAGGTTTTCTGTTTCTTTCATCCCTTCCCCCACCAATTCACTTTCTCCAGCTTAAATTCTTGCCCCTCTGATAGACTTCTTGAAAAAGTCTGCACTCCCACTCTTGCCTCTATCCCACTTCATTTCCTTCCTTACCTGTTCTCGCCAAGGTGACCTGTGCACTGAGCCCCAGGGACCCCCCCATCTGCCCACTAGTTCCCCTTTAATGTTAGTGACTCCTTCACGCTAGCCACTCCTCCACTGTCTCCTCAGAGGTCAGGCATTCCTGCTGTCTGTGTGCTGTGCATCCTCAGCCCTTCCTCAAGCCTGAGTCCCCTCCTGAGCTCCAGGTCCACATTTCCTGCTTCCTGCTCAGTGACCCCACATGGGATGACCCACAGGCACCTGTCCCTGCTTCCTGCAGCCCTCTGGCATTCTCTGCACTCCTTTCACCTCCACCCCCACCTGGCAGTTCCTGTGTTGACCCTTCTCCATTTTGTTCCTTACAGTGGAGCACCCACTGCTGCCCTGTTTCCCACAACTCCAACTCACTCCTTTCTGCCTTCACCGTAGACCACCTTGGTCCGGGGGTGGTGCCTTGCTGTGCTCCAACAGCACCTGAGCACTGAGCTCTAAACCTCTGTTTTCCCCACTGACTACAAGAGCTCCCAGACTGGAATGATGTCCTCTCCCCAAGGCAGAGAATTAGCAGGAACTTATGGTGAACAAATGGCTTTCTGTGTCCTGCTGAGGATAGGAGGATGAATTCCAGAGTTTATAGTCTGGAAGGGGACAGCAAACATTCCTGAAAAGCTAGGTATGTTGCCAGAAAGGGCCCGGTGTTTCCCCTGGGAAGCTTAGTTCTGGTTTGGATCTTTTAGCAAAAACCACAAATTACAGAAAAAAAGCCATCCCCATTTCTCTTTTAAAATAAACATTCTGTAAATACAAGTCAAAACTAAGCTTGTTTATTAAATTCTGTCATGTTCACTAAACTACAAAGCAAATGTTTTCTAAAAATTATTTGGTTAACCCATGCATCTAGGAACAAAGCTTATTTGGTTTTTTTCCCCTCAAAACAATTTAACTGAACATACTGATTTCAGGTCCCTGCTAAATAAGCCAATTTGGAAAATCACGTGTGCCCTCCTGCCTGGGCGGCTGAATTCCAGGTGCCCATGACCTACCATGATGCCCATTATGCCATTCCCTCCCCCATCTTTGCCACAGGATTTGATGCACCTGTGCTCCCAGTGACTGGGCCCCATGATGTCAAACCTGACCCAGGCCTTTGCATTTGCTGTTCAGCTCAATTGCAGAAATTGGTTATTATTAACAGGCCTCTGCTGCCCTGCCCTTCCCCGCCGCCACCCCCAGCCCCCAGCCCCCACCCCCCAGCCCCCACCCCCAGTCAATAGAAAACTGAGCTGACCCACACTAAGTGTAGGTAAAGGGTTTGGAATCCAGGAGAAAGTAGGTAAGGGGTTTGGAATTCAGGGAAAAGGTTTAATCAGAAAAAAGCTGCAGTCAGGTGATTTCCTGAGCATCCCTTCATCTGCTGACCTGTGCTGATTCTTTATCTACATCCTGGGCAGCTGACCTCTTCCTGGAGCACAGCGGCTCAGATACCATCTTGGTCACTTACAGCTCTCCTGGGGCACAAAGGTCAAATTGCTTGTGGGTCTCCTGAAGTCATGGCAGGTCCAGTCATACATTCCAGTCCCGGGAATAATAGCTTTTCCACATGCATTAATTATCAAGCCTATTAACTACATATCTGCAACTAAAAAGTCTATGTGGAGTAAGTTCCCTCTGAACTTAACTTTTTGAGTTCCCCATCAGGAGCAGCCCTGCTATGGCCAGCTCCAAGCTAGGCCTCTTGCTGCTGCTGCTGCCCACCCAACCAGGACCCTCAAAGACTCAGCACTGGTCCCACGACTGGTACAGTGGAGGAAAGTGAGCCTCCAGCTCACCCCTGCACTGCCAGCATGCCCCAAGGCCCCAGGTGGGTGACGGGTCTCCCCAGCCTGAGTGGGAGGAAGAAGGTGCTGACTAGGGCTCCGCCTACCTTGAGCCTGTGGTTGGGGGTAGTGAGGGCAGTTTGCAGCCTCGACTATCTTTTGAGGAAGGATTCTGGGCACGGCAGCAAGCGGCCCAGACCAGACTGCCATAGCCTCCAAAGCAATGCCCTGGCTCTCCCCACACACACACACTCCAGGTGGAAAGTGTGCCCTGGGAGGGCAGGACCACAGGCCAGGGGACCCTCCATACGAAGCAGTACCTGGTGCAGACACTGCTGGTAAGTAGAGTGAGAGGCCCCAGGCATTGGCCACCAGGGGCCATAGTGGCTAAGGACTGGGGGCTATGTGAGTGGAAGATGGGGTAGACAGCACTGAGACACCCCTACCACAGCACCCCCAGCTGTTAGTGCCCCCTGCTTCTTACAAGCAGGGTGCTGTCTGCTATTCTATTTCCCAGAACGCTAAACAATTTATAAGATACTTATGTTAAATTTAAAGACCGGAAGTCACTAATGGGGTAGGAAATAATTGTACTGCACTAAGAAACCTCCATAAGTAAGGCAGTGACTGCAGTGGGGTCCCCCAGGCTTGTTTCCTAGGGAAACCATTGTGTTCCCCGGCCAGCAGAAAGAGGTGAGAGGCGGGACCTCACACTGACAGGTAGCAAGGCCTGGAGGACCAGGTAGTCACTGACAGTCACTGACATGGCACTAGAAATGGTAGCGATTGCAGTCCTCCGAAGCCCTAGCAGAACACAGGTGTGTGGAGATGGATTACTACTACTTTGCACATAGTATTTTAAAGTGCACCAGGACAGCACGGTAACTAAAGGAGAAAGTAATAAGATTCCTATACGGCAAAACCTTATCGCCTAATTTAAGTCCGTGTGAGCTCAGGTTTTTACCTATCAGGTTTGTTTAGGAGGTGAAGGACACCCTGGATCCTCTAGGCTAGGAGCCTGTCAGCGAAGCCGGGTCAGAAGGGTGGGGGCGGGGGGGAGGGGGGAAGCAGGGGCCGGGCCGCTGACCAGAGCTTCCGCTGGAATGACCGTCCCTTCCCCGACAAACTGGGCCCGAGCGCTGCGCACTGCCGCCCAATAAAGTTATGAGCTCCCCGAAGTTGTTGCCTCGAATTCTCCGTCCTCTTCCTCTCCCACTCACACTGAGCCCCTTCTCCGCGTGGGTTCTGGAGGGACGCGGACCCGGCCCGCAAACGAAGGGGCACGGACGTGACCGGGCCCCGCAGGAAGGGCGCAGCCAGAGCCCGTGGCGGGGGACGACGGCAGACCTCGGCAGGGCCTCGTGTGCCGTCGGAGCGGGCTCCCGGGTACGGTACTGTAGAGGGAGGATAGACCTTGGACTTCACGCCCCATGGTGCCCCGCGCCCGCTTCCGGGCCCCCGTGATGCACTGCGGCGCGCCGGACGCGAGGCGGCCTCGGTCATGCTGCGCCCTCTGAGCTACCTGGGCGCGCGGCCCCAGTGCGGGCCCCCGGCCCCGCTGCTGCTGCTCGTGCGCGGACGCAAGACCCGCCACGACCCGCCCGCCAAGTCCAAGATCGGACGCGTGGCGACCCCGCCCGCGGTGGACCCTGCGGAGTTCTTCGTGGTGACGGAGCGTTACCGGCAGTACCGCCAGATCGTGCGCGCCCTCAGGTGTGTGAGACGGTGGACAGGGAGGCGGCCGCCGGGAGTGTCGGGGCGGGCGGGCTGAGGGTGCCGACCTTGGGTGCGTCTCTGCCAGGCTGCAGTTCGTGTCCGAGGTGCGGAGGAAGATGCACGAGGCGCGGGCCGGGGTCCTGGCGGAGCGCAAGGCGCTGGAGGACGCCACTGAGCACCGCGAGCTGATGGCCTGGAATCGGGCAGAGAACCAGCGGCTGCACGAGCTGCGGTGAGACGGGCGGGCGGGCGGTGCGGGGCCCCCTGTCTGGCCCGCGGGAACCCAGCCCGCTCAGCCTCGGCCTCTTGTTCCTCCCAGGATAGCGAGGCTGCGGCAGGAGGCCCGGGAGCAGGAGCAGCTGCAGGCCGAGGAGCGGGCCCGTAAGGCCCGAGAGAGAGAGGCCTGGGTGCAGCTCAAGGAGCAGGAAGTGCTGCAGCTGCAGGTGGGTCGCGTCTCCACCGGGTGGGTCTGGAGACCGGGAGCTCATCCTGGGAGGCCGGCAGAGTCCTGGGTGCAGCGAGGTGGGACACCGGCTGCGTGCAAATGGAGAGGGCAGTCTTGAGAGAGCAGGTGAGGATTTGCGAGGAGCGTGCCTGGCAGGCACAGAGACCTGAAGTGAGCGCTGACATTGGAAAGTGTCCACGTAGCTGGTGGGTGGTAGGCTGGTGTCTGCGGGAGGGACCCCTGAAGTCCAGAGTTCGTCTTTGGGTGATGTCACTGAAGGGGTAAATATTTTGGCTGGGTTGGCAGGAGTGATCCAGCAAGAATGGATGAGGCTTGAATTAAGGTGATGGAGGGAGAAGGAGGAGTTTGAGAGAGACCGAGAGGTAACATTGTCACAGCTGGTGTGCTGTGGTTCTGGCAGAGCTGTCCAGTGGATGGTTAAGAAAGAGGAAGGTGACAAGGCTGCTCGCAAGTCAGCGGGGCACTCAAAGAGGACCTGGGCTCCAGGCATCCTTCCCAGGGGAGAGCTGGAGCTGTCAGTGGGCTGAAGGCCAGCAGGCAGGGTGGGCAGGCTGGCCCGTGCTGGGGGCTCCCAGTCAGCCGCCTTCTCTCTCAATAGGAGGATGCAAAAACCTTCATCACCCGAGAGAACCTGGATGCTCGGATAGAAGCAGCGTTGGACTCCTCAAAGAGCTACAACTGGGCCATCACCAAAGAGGGACAGGTGGTCAGGCCACAGCACAAGGACAACTAAGGGCCCAGTAAGGACAGTGCCTGCCACTGTGTGTGGATACGGGTATGACCTGGGATAAAACAGAGGTGTTTCTTCTGAAGAAGGAAGCTCAACCTATTCCATTGTGGCCCTCTTGTTTTGGCCTCTGCATCTACCACTTGACCAGTGCCCTTTTCTGCCCCATGTACAACTGCCAGCACAGCACCAGGCCCTAAGGTTTCCATCTTACAGAGGGGCAGACTGGACCATAGGCGTGAGGTCATCTCCTGAGTATCATCGAGGGTGGTCAGGGGTTGGCAAATCTGGTCTACTACCTGTTTTTGTAAATAAAGGTTTGTTTGAATACAGCCACACCCATTCATTGACTACTTGGATGCTACGATGGCAGAGATGATTAGTTGCAACAGGGACCATATGTGACTTGCAAAGTCTAAAATATTTGTTGATATGGCTTTTTAAAAATATATAAAAATACTTTTTTATTGATTTCAGGGGGAGAGAGAGAAACATCAATGATGAGAGCGAATCATTGATCAGCTGCCTCCTGCATGCCCTTTACTAGGGACTGAGCCCACAATCCAGGCTTTACAAGGTTGGGGTAATTTGTCAAACACCTAGATCAAACCTTGAGGGTACCAGGAATACTTGTGGTTAAAGTTCACAAGACTGAATAAGTGAACATAGAGATCCATTGCCCCTGTTCATACAAGCTCTCGAGCAACATCTGGGCTGAGGTTGAAGAGCTGTTTCTCCGAGCCAGAGCTGCAGCCCCTTTGCCACCGTTCACTTGAACTTGCCCAGATACCACGGGAGGACAGAATCCCAGCTTCTTTTCCTGAACTCCAACATTGTAGAGAGGGTCTGGGAACACCCAAGAAATGAAAACCTTTTAGAAAACATGGGCACCCCCCACACACATTCAGGTGAGAATGCAGGTGACAGGTATAAGCTTAGAGCCAGTGGTTATTGTGCCTTGCACCCTGCCTCCATCGGCTTTGCACCCCTCAGAGCAATGGTCTCCTTCCTCAGGCTGGTGATAGCCCTTTTCCCTGCTACCAAACCTGGGCACAGCACAGTGGAGTCCTTTCAGATGCTCAACATAACTTCTGGGGTGAGCTGATGGACACACATTGTGGGCCATGGATTGGCAGCTGTGCCCACAGCCTTGGACTTGATTGTGAGGAGTGGACAGACCGTCTGGTCCCCAGCAGTGGAAGCCTTGGTGAGCTTTCACATGGGCCCCTGGGCCTGTGTTAGGAAGTCCAGTTTCATTCTTCCCAAGCCCCTTGCCCTCTGCTTCAGGCTGTAGACCCAAGTCGTCTGTCTTTCAGTAGAGGAGACGGTGTGATACGTTCTTGAAGTTCTGCCTTTGGGCTGCTTTCCCCTCACTGCCGTTTAGTATCCTGCATGGGGCTGTAACGCCTTGACATTCACTGCTGATACCAGTGTGTCGTGCAGAGCCACCTCTAAACCAAGCTTCGTTTTTATCCACCTGTAGTCAAAAAAAAAAAAAATCTGATATTTTTTTCTTTACCCCCAGGAACTTTGCTGGGTAGGCACTTCTCCCCCAGGATTTATCTCCCCAATTAAGTATTGATGTTTTACCAAGACACCTGGATTCTTGCCTCTTCCAATTCTCCGGGATAAGTAGCAGCACATCAATGAAGTGGATCACCGTGATGTCCTGGGGGTGGGTAGTCAGGGTCTTGAAGATGAAGTTGTACAAAACTGTTAGTTGTCCACTACTTGGCCTGGGCGGTGGTGATACACTGCCAGGGGAAGGAGCACTGCTGGTAGTGGTCCAAGTAGGCAGGAAACGAGCAGAATATTTGCCACATGAATGGGTGCTGGGTGCCTCCATCTACTCATGGAGCCACACTGGGCCTACGTAAGCCCGAAGTCATTCCCATGGTTTTCCAGTAGACTCCAAATTTTCTGCATGGAATACAGTCACAGGTGCACAATATTCCTTGAGAGAGCACACTTTCAGTTTTCTGTGGAAGACTGTTGCCCAACTAGAGCTGCAGTTTTGGCTGAGCTGCAGCACAGGAGCAGAGCCGTCTCACTGGGCTGAAACTAACACCAGAGCGGTAACTCCTGCGCCGTAACACTGGTCTTCTCTGGAGCCACCTCACAGCCGCAGCCGCGCTGGAGCTGTTTCACTATTGAACTGTTTGCACGAATAAAGCATCTCTTCCTTCACCACATGGAAATTGGGGTTCCTATAGCACTGAACTGGCACAGTGACCTTCAGTTGACACAAGTAAATGCAATGAAGCTTGTAGGTGCTATGGGAAAAGTCACTGTGGAGTAAAACGGGTTTATAAAGAAGGGTGGGACTGAAAATCAATGGGACAACAGGGTGTCGGGATGCTGGTCAGTGGAGGAGAAGAGGCCTGAAGTCAGCCTAGAGAATGTGCTGGTATTCATCAGGAAGTAAAGGTTGTGCAGGCCCTCAAAGGGGAGCCATGTGAGTCAGGCACAGTGCTAGGGAACATTAGAGGGACTCAGTACGTCATTGTTATGTGAGCATAAGATACAAGAAGAGCTGGCTTCAGTGAGCTATGATGCTAGAGGAGAGCATGAGTCAGAGCAGAGAGCCTTGTAGATTAGGTTGAAGTTAAACAAACTCATAGGAACCAAGCAGAATGGTGGTTGTCAGGGTATGGGGGGATGGGGAAATGTTGGTCAAAGAGTACACACTTCCAGTTATAAGATGAATACATAATGGGGATCTAAGTATAGCATGGTGACTATGGTTAACAACACTGTATTGTGTGCTTGAAAGTTCCTAAGAAAGTAAATCTTAATGTTATCACCACACACACACAAAAGTTCCTCCTGAACTTAACCTGTGGTTGCTTTCCTGACATACATGTAGAAGTGAAATAAATACCTAGGAAACCAGCCCAGGTCACTGCTGAAATATGGGCAATTCTGGCAGGAAGAGTCAAGCTTGGAACTCTTCTTCTTACCAAGCCAAAAGCACTTTTTGCAACCCCCAAATCCTGAGGAAGATAGTCCCAGTGATGATGCCGGTCATTTCTTTCATGGTGAATATTTCCTCAGTATGGGTAAGTGCTTAAACCATAGATTTGAAGCTTAATGAATTATTTTGAAGGCAACATCCATGTCAAGAAACAGAACACCGTCTGGATCAAATTCATAGTTAAGTTTACAAGGCCTTGAGGTCAAGAACCTGTAAGGAAGGATCCCACTGTATTGCCACAAAAGGCAGTAGAGGGACCTGAAGGAGCTCAGAGCTGCACAAACCCACCCTCACCAGGACTCCACGGTGGCTCTGTGGGTCGCATAGCCAATACTTTACCCCAAATGTTTGGGCATTGCCCCTGGCCGAGAGCAAAACACAGTTAAGTCATTGACAGTCTTTGGAAAGTTGTTACATTTCACACTGAGAGTACATGTATTAAAACCAGACAGTGAAACCAGGGAGGGCTTAGGATAGAAGCAGCAGGAGGGAGGCTAAGAGGCACTGCTTTGGCTCACTGAGAAATGTCAGTGACAAGTGAGCCAAGGTGGGGCTGCTACTGGCTCACTGAAGAGTACGAGAAAAGGGGGCCTTGAGACAGGCTCGGGGGGTTAGCTTGAAACGAGCTGCCCCCAACACTGCTCCCCTGGTTGCCAGTCTCCTGGGGATCATAGCGTTTAGGAGATGCACAGCAGAGAGGGAAGAAAGGCATAGGCATGCTCCCCAAAGGGGAGCCTATATTTCACACTTCTTTTTTTATTTATTTATTTTTTATTTTTTTTTATATATTTTATTGATTTTTTACAGAGAGGAAAGGAGAGAGACAGAGAGCCAGAAACATCAATCAGCTGCCTCCTGCACATCTCCCACTGGGGATGTGCCCGCAACCCAAGTACATGCCCTTGACCGGAATCGAACCCAGGACCCCCCAGTCCGCAGGCCGACGCTCTATCCACTGAGCCAAACCAGCTTCGGCCACACTTCTTTTTTTAAAATATTTTTTTATTAATATCAGAAGGGCAGGGGGAGAGAGAGATAGAAACATCAATGATAAGAGAGAGAATCTGATTGGCTGCCTCCTCCCCTACTGGTGATCAAGCCCGCAACCCAGGCATATGCCCTTGACTGCAATCAAACCCAGGACCCTTAAGCCAAACTGGCTAGGGCTATTTCACACTTCTTAAAAAATTTATCTTTATTGTTGAAAGTATTACAATGTCTCCCCTTTTTTTCCCATTGGACCCCCCTCCACCCTGCCGCCACCCCTCCCAGGCCTTCACCACACTATTCTCTGTGTCCAAGGGCAATGCATATAAGTTCCCCCAGTTAATCTCTCCCATTTCACACTGTTTTATTTTTCCTTTTAAATACTAGCCACTGAGGGAGAGAGATGGTCTGAGAGTGGGATTTTGTGTCTGGGAAATTTGTAACTGAGGTATAAATGTCAACCATGGCACACACACCTTTGCTGTCAGTGCCAGAGCCCACAAGGTGCTGGCTGACCTGCTGCTGCTGTTGGAAGGAACCCCATGGCCCTGGCTGGAACCCCGAGCCACACTCATCTGCCGCTGCCACTGCCGCTGCCGCTGCCAGAAGTCCTCAGACCTCAGAAGCAGAGGGATCCGAGGGTTCGCCCTTCCTCTGGCCTCAACAACAAATCTTTTGCCGATGACTCCTAGGGTGTTGCCATAATAGAAGCCAGGTGGCCAGGAAGTCTGGGGATCACAGTGTACAGGCCTCCAGCCTCCTGTGGAGCTCTAGGCTTTGGATGAACAACTGGATAAATGGATTTTTTAGAGGCACTGTTTCTCACAATTTGCAGTATTTAGAGTGGGATAGAATTGTTTTATGGGGACTTTTAGAATAAGGTGAAATGAAATTTGAGACTAATATATTTTGACAATTTGGGATTTATACTTTCTGAAAATCTACAAAAGTTATCTTTAACTACAAACATAGCAAGTCATTAGCATGTCTTTTAATTTGAAAAATATTCTTATATTTTTTACTTAAAAATACTTATTTTTTTAACATTTTAAAAAATATATATCTTATTATTACAGAGAGGAAGCGAGAGGGATAGAGAGTTAGAAAGATTGATGAGAGAGAAACATCAGTGAACCAGCTGCCTTCTGCACACCCCCTACTGGGGATGTGCCCGCAACCAAGGTACATGCCCTTGACCGGAATCAAACCTGGGACCCTTCAGTCCGGAAGCCGACGCTCTATCCACTGTGCCAAACCGGTCAGGGCCCCTCTTTCCTTCTTTTAAAGAGGGAAAGCTAGTCCCCAATGGATGACCCTAGCCCAGAATAACCCAACCTCACCCAGGAGAGCTGAGCCCAGACCCAAAGGGGAGAGC